TTGGGGGTTTTTGCCATGACAACATCGTGCCGCTCACCTGAAGTGGCACATTTTGGGGAGCCCAGCGGGCGAGGCCAGGGGAGCAGGCGCAGTTGCTTTCAGTTTGTTCTAAGCCTGTGTCAGCACAAATGACGCCTTTTGAAAGCAAAGCAAATCAATGAAACTCCCACGCATCATGTAAATGAAACCTGGCTTTCGCCGCTCCCATGCTTTCGAAATGGGGACTTTTGCTGCAGAAAACACACGCTACTGGAAAGTCGGGAACCAGATGTGCTCGTAGGCTGACATAGAGCAATGACAGAAGGGCTCTGGAACAGCTCATGTGCGGAAATCTCCCCTCTGCACCCCGCTCCCTCCCGAGTTCACTCTCACTGCATCCCCAGACCCAAGGACCGTGATGGAAAGTGCCCTTCACCGCTACCACCACCGGGCAAACCCTGTCTGTGTCATTACAGCCTCCTGGAAGAGAGCAATTCGGGCTGTCACGTTTATCGACTCAAATTCTCACCAGCCAAGACCTGGGCCTTGGCGGTACCTGACTAGGCCGCCAAAGGAGGCTACTGGGGTAACCTGGAGATCATAGGGACCCCCTTACCTGGGGCGGTCTGTGCTTTTCACCCTTCGCAGCTCAGAGCTTCCTGTGTCTGGCTGAGCTCAATATGAGGAGACTCTGCCTTCCAGCTAGGCCCCTTCCTGCTCTCTGTGGCTATCTTAGGGCCCGCTGCTGGGAGGTGCCAGGTGCCCACGGTGGAGCGGTGGGCCTAGGTGTCTCACCAGCATCTCAGCATCTCACCAGCCCAGACACGTGGTGCCCGGGCGCAAGGAGAACATGGAACAAGATGTCACTCTGTGCCTCAGAGCGGGACGGGCGGGTCCTTGATTCCAGGCTTGGCCACATGAGAAAATGGCACCGGTATCCTCTGAGTCGGCTTTTAAACTGATCCAGTGAAGCCGGTGCCAAAGGCGACATTTGGCTTCTTTTGGTTTAGTGACACTGGTCCTGACTGACTGGAGTGAACTGCAGCAAGCCTTCTACTGAACTAGCTCTGTTCACACTACCCTTTGCAGTGGTCTGCCTGGATCAGGTTAAATTCACACCTCCCTTTATCCATGTGCTGCTGTCTCAGGTGGATGAGCCCTCAGAGATGGAACAGCTCGGCTAGGTCCTCTGCAGCCCGTTGGTGCAGGGCAGGACTGGTCTGTTTTCCAGTCTGCTTTCAGAAGTCCTCACTGGCAGGGCTTCTGTCCCTTCCCTACAGCTCTCTAGATTCCCTGCCAGGCTCAACTCAAGGGTGTCTAGTCCTCACTGGTCCTTCCCCAGCCTTCCAGGCGGGTACTGCTTTGCCAGCCATGGCTGCCAGCGGTGCCCCTAGAAGGCCTGTAAGCCATCGTCTAGATCAGTGCGGTGAGGGAGTCAGCTGAGCCCCTCCTGCTTGTTAATCTCTTGACCATTTTAAGCAGAGAAGCAACTGGTGGCCGTTTTGTCCTGTGGTTGGAACACGGCGCTGTGAGGCTATAAGCCCAGCTGAGCCCCCAGCTCACCCAACACATGACCTCTGGCAAGTGCCATGTCTCTTGTCCTTGTTGAACCTCATCAGATTTCTTTTGGCTCAATCCTCCAATTTGTCTAGGTCACTCTGGACCCTATCCCGACCCTCCAACATATCTACCTCTCCCCCCAGCTTAGTGTCATTGTGAACTTGCTGAGGGTGCAGTCCACACCATCATCCAGATCATTAATGAAGATGTTGAACAAAAGCGGCCCCAGGACCGATCCCTGGGGCACTCCGCTTGATACCGGCTGCCAGCTAGACATGGAGCTGTTGATCACTACCCGTTGAGTCCGACAACCTAGCCAGCTTTCTATCCACCTTATAGTCCATTCATCCAGCCCATACTTCTTTAACTTGCTGGCAAGAATGCTGTGGGAAACCGTATCAAAAGCTTTGCTAAAGTCAAGGAATATCATGTCCACCGCTTTCCCTACATCCACAGAGCCAGTGACTTCATCATAGAAGGCAATCAGATTGGTCAGGCATGACTCAAGTTGATCTTTTCCAGAAAGTTCCTTCTGCAAAGGCCCAGAGCCAGGTCTAGATCCTGCCCAGGGCCAGGGGAGACCTCGGAGCACCACGTCCACCCCAGACACCGCAGAGGTGAGCGCAAGCACTGAAGGGGTCCAATCCACATCCCCCTGAAACCAGACCCAATCTGAAAACCGAGGGTTATTGCCCTAAGGTTCCTGCAGGCAGAGCCTTCGCAGCTGCCCCACCAGCAAGAGCAGCCGCATCCCCTGCGCTCTCCAGCCAGGGCCATCACTCTGACAAAACGTTCTCGTTACAGTGGGTTGTCCTTGAGCTGGCAGGTCCTAGCAGATCCCCACACAGCCAGGCCTGCCCTTGGAGAATTAGGCATCTCCTTTCACAATTGTACTCCACGACTTTGGTCTCCCTGCGGCTAGACACATGAACACACATGGCTAATCTGGTAACGGGGATGAAACTAGACCGCTTTTGTTCCATCGCGAGACAGGTGGAGCAGCCTCCTCCCACCACGCCTCCGCGGAGGAGGGCTCCACCCACTGGGTGTGCTCGGGAACGCGAGTCTTTTCACCATGAGACAACAGAACTCCAGAATTTGCATCTCACTTTGCCAGATTTATTTAATATTAACTATGGAGCCTTGATTAAATCAGTTTTGCAAGGATTACATGGACTCACTTTCTTCTAGTCTGCTAATTCCAGAGGTCCCATTCCTCCTTGTTTCCTCATTGTCTTCCGACAAATAACCCTCAGTAACTAAGTGTGTTAGAGATGGGCCAGACTATGAACCCAAACGCCTCCAAGGGGGACCCAATCCAAATTTTACAGTTGGACCCGCTTCAGACTGATGCACTCCTGTGGGGATAAATGAAAGTCAAAAACCCAACAGCCACTGGAGAGACCTAGCGACCAGTGCACTGGACTGGGAGCCAGGAGATCTGGGTCTATTCCCAGTCTGCCAATAACCCCCTCTCACCTTTCATGTGTCTTGTCTATTTAGCTCTTTGGGGGAATCTCACTGTGTCTTTGTACAGGGGCCCTGATCTCAGTCTGGTGCCTCTAAGGCGACGGTACCACAAATAACTAATAACCACACCCTCATTCTCTGCCATCAATTCAGCAGTGTCAGCTAGCGTCCTGGCTGTTGCTTTCCAGTGAGAAGCCAGTTTGGGAGAAAAGGAAATAATTTTAATTCTTTTTTTTTAAAAAAAATCCCTGTTTTACAAGCCTTCATTCGCTATTGTTTATGTAAACAGGTAAATTGTTTCGTATCTCAATTAAAAACATCTGCTACATAAATGAATACCAATTAACTCCTCCTGTTTTTAATTACTCTGTTAATTACACACAGGCAGCAGAAAGGATGGCATGGGAATAGGGGAAGCGTGATGCACACGCCCTCCCCCCTTCCCCCTCTGCTCCCCTCCCCACCTTGCTCTTGGCAAGGATCCGAAATATGCCCAGATAATGATGGATTAAGGTGGCTGGTGAAAACCATGGCTCGTAGCCAGCTCTGGGGATTTCGGCTCACTTCACAGCCGCTATGTGGAGGCCTCACCTCCTGGCCAGGATCTCGCAGGGAGTGGGTTCACCTTGGAGAGCCATTCCCCTGCTGCACGCACGCTTACCCCCCTACACATGTGTCCCCCTCAACCCGAAGCTGGCCTTGCCCACCAGAGGGCAGTCCAGGGCGGGACGCTCGCCTCCCTTCCCGCCAGCCGGCTCACCATAAGGCTTCCCCAAGCCTGATTAAAAGGGACTTAGCTCCAGCCCTCAGGAGCCCAGTATATGGAGCAGGCGAACCTCGTCAGGTGACTCCCTGGGTGATGAGGACTAAGAGGCAGCATACCTGGGAACCCCCTGGCCAGGGGGCCGACGGGGTAGGCGAGGGGGTGGGAAATGGGATGCCATGTCCAGCTGTGCTGTTGGATTGCACTGGGCGCTCTGAGTTACGCCCCAGATATTGCAAACACTGGCTGGGTCTCTGCTCCAGGAGGACCCACTGCCCCTGCATGAACACAGGGACTCTGTAGTCAAGGGCCCTCGCGCCCCTATCCGGGAGAGCAAAGAGCATCTGTGAGGGGCAGTGGAATTCCTCTCATCCCCAGCTCCTGCCTACAGTGAGGCTCACCCTGCCCACGGGGACAGCACACCCACACAGCCAGGGCTAATTGTGGCTTTTAAGCTGCAGCTCCGCATTGCCCATGGCGGGGAGGGTGCAGGAGGTTGCCCCCCTCCTCCCCAGTGCATCAGCCCCACCCTGCGGTCTGAGGCAGAGGGAGCAGCTAGGTAACCATGTTCACTACCCAGGATCGCTCACAATCGAAGTATTGGAGACAAGGAGCAGGCGGGCCGCTGCTGAGAAAGCCCAGAGGAGACTACCTCAGGGTCTATAGTTCAGGCTACGTGATAGTGACCCGCTTCTTGGGGGTCTCAGGAAGAAATCGGCACCTAGGCTGATCCGAGGTCAGGGAGCCGTGTGGAAAGAGGCGCAGAGCAAGACCATGGCGGTGGAAGGGACCCCGAGGTTGGCACAATGGGGGAAGTGTCTCCGTCTTGTTCTTTGCAGTGCTGCTGTCCCAGGAACTGTTTTTAAGGCTTGGAGTGTGGACAGTTCCTCAGCCTGGTAATGGACACTGCCCTGGAGAGAGTCATCCACACAGATGCATCTTCAGCACAGCAACCCTCACAGCCCAACCCTACATGTCGCTGGGCTTAGGATGTTAGACAGTCAAAGCGGGTGGATGGTTCCAGCAGGAAACGGATGCAGGGCAGTCACCCAGACATGAAGGCTGAATTATTAAGGGTGGCTGGGACCACAGTGTGCTCTATCGTTATGTTATGCCACAGAGAACAGCGGCTCTGCAGCTCCCTCCGAAATATGCCTCCCACCTCTGCTTTGTCAATGCAAGGGCCTGGGGATAAGGGGCGGGGAAGTGAGTGGTAAAGGCATCACACCTGGGAACATCGGCTCTGAGTTTGCCCCAGCAGCAGGGAGATGCTACGATGAGTACGGTCGTGCCGAGAGCGGGCTGGGGTTTCCTCCGACACCCAGAGTGCAGGCCTGTGGAACGGGAGCGGTGTTTCCACCTGCAAATGTCGTCAGCAGGATGCCTGCAGAGAGAAATCATTGGGCCTTTGCCCCACAGACCTAGAGGTGGTTATGGGGGCAGGGCGAAGGGGACTTGACTTTGCCTGCCCACCTCAACATCTTCATTGTGGACCAAATGCATCCCTGGTGTAATTGCACGAAAGGTGGTGGGGCTGCACCAGGGATACATTTGGCCCCAGGAAAGTGTTTTTTTAGCTGCACGTGGGTGTGAATTCCTCCCAATAGGCCCTTCCTTCTACCACCCTCAAGTGCTTTTGGCTGCGGGGCGTTTATTGCACTGTTCAAACCAAGCCTGCCTGTAATAGAGGCCTACACTCGTATTGCTAAGCGATCCCTCGTGCTGCTGGCTGATTTGGACTAGACTCTCCTAATCCTCCTCCCTCTGCATCACCGTTGTGGGAAGCTTTCCAAGCAAGCAGATGGGGCAGCAGAGCAGCCGCAGCGGGGAGCGGGTTTCCTTACAGGACACATTTTACAAGGGAGTATTTTGTGCATTTCAGCCTGGCCTATAAAACCATCTCGGGTCCAACCTGGGGATTGCACATTGGAGCATGTGAGTCTACAAGGTCTTGCAGGGGGGTTCGAGCCAGTTTGGCAGGAATGGGGGGAGCTGAGCAGTTACTCTGTCTCTCACTGACGGATGTAGGAATTGCCTTATCAGTTCAGACCACGGGTCCCTGCTTCAGCAGAAGGTGCAGCAACCCCAGAGTGGACTCATCTGGAGTACTCTGCCCACAAGGAAATTTTGTTCCCAAGCTCCACGGGCGCCCAGCACCTCTGACAGCCAGGCCCAACGGGACTTCCCGCTGGACATTCACAAGCAGCTTTCACCAAGCTTGGCCTAAGCGATTGTCCTCGCCACCGGTGCCAGCCACTGGCCCATCCTGTCAGCTGTTACCTGGAAACCGGACTGAGACGCTGTGTTACTTCCTAGAGGAACAGGTGGGCAGCTTAGTGCTTAATGATGGAGTCACATGACAAAAGACACACACAACCCCTCATGCTATTTACCAGCTGTCTGGAGCTCCTGGATCTTAAACATACTCACTAAACACTGCGAGTAAACAGAGCAACGGGATCCGGCTGTACATGCCTGGAGCACGGCAGGCCCCCCGAGCATGTTCTGACACGCCTGCTTGGCGGTCATCTGCTGCGGGGGGCTTGGCAAGTAGCATGAGTCCTGACACCAGGTGGCAACACAAAAACCCACCCAGCCTTTGCCTTCTCTTGGGACTGGGGCCCCGTTGTGCCAGGCACTATACAGCCATATACAAAGACCTAGGGCCTGATCCTCCGCCGCTGAAGTCAACAGAAGTTTTGTCATTGCCTTCAGCAGGAGCAGGGTCGGATGTCCGGCTCCTGCCCTACCCAAGAAGACAAGTGACATATGGAGGGTGGGGAGGAACGAGAGCCAATCAGATACAATGATGCACCATTTTTACAGCCATAGATGCACAAAGACAAATTTCTCTTGGTTATTATGAATACACAAAGTGTCAGCTCTCCCCATCTGTTCCTCCAAGCAGCCGTCATAAATCCGCCAATTTTCTACAGGCCTCGCAGCAGAGGGGGGTCACTCCTCCAGCCTTGCTAGAATGCTCTGTTCTTATTTCTATTGTGGCCACATTTTCCAAGGTATTTAGGTGCCTAAAGACCTTTGATCTGGCCCCTAGAGACCCCAGTCCGGGATCAGGGCCCTGTCCGACTAGGCACTATACATACACAATGCCAGAGCCAGTTCCCACCCCGAAGAGCTTGCAGTCTAGGCTGGTAACAGGCTTGACCCTGACTTCAAAGGCCCCACTGAAATCAATAGGAATGTGTTGGCTAAATATCCTGGACGGTCATGGGGAGAGACATTGGCATCATCTCGAACAATTCCCAGCCTCAGCAGAGCAGGGAGCCCAGTGGGAGCGACTGTGAGACACCTGCCACAGTGATGCTAAGAGAGTCTTGGAGGCCACGGAAATGGGAAGCTTCCATGGAGACAGGACTGGAGGGTGACAGAGTTTACATTGCTGCCTCCGAGGCCAAATCCCACTCACTTGACATGCACCACTGATCGCTACTGGAGCGCTGGCATGAGGCAGGGGTGGCCCATGGACTTTTCTTGCAACTGTTGGTTCCCCTCCTCTTGGTTTCTGATCTGCTGGGCTCTGAGAAGCGTCCTCAGTTGTTATGATCAGGATTTATTATCTGTATTACCATAGCGCCTAGGAGAGCTAGTCGTGGGCCAGGACCCACTGGTGCTAGGAGCTGTACAAACACAGAACCAAAGACAGTCTCTTCCCCCATACGTGTCATTCCCGTAGATGTTTATGAGGGGCAGCCTGGGAGAAAGCAGGAAAATGGAACAAGCAGGTGCTGGAGGCTGGTTGAATGGGCCAGATGGAGGTGGGAGTTGATATTTTGATACCAACTGTGAGATGACAGGTAGGGTGGGGCTAGGCTGGGAAGAGCCTTCACAGTGAAGACAGGCAGCTTCTGTTTGATGCAACAGAGCAGGGGGAGCTGGTGGAGGGATTAGAAGAGAGGGGTGACATACTCAAAGCCTTGGGCTCGGAGAACAATCTTTGCAGCAGCATTCTGAATGGGTCCGAGCAAGGCAAGGCTGCATTTGTCAAGGCCAGAGAAAAGGATGTTGCAGAAATTGTGATGATGAGACCCTGGATGCCAGTTTGAACTGCATGGGTGGATAGGAAAGGCCGTATGCAGAGATATTCTGCAGAATGAATTGGCGAGATTTAGATATTGCCTGGGTGGGAAGACCTAGAGAGAGGTCTGAATCAAAGCTGATGCCCAGATGCCCAGCGATCAAGAAAGGAAGATGGGGGGAGGGAAGTTTAGGAGCTCTGTTTTAGCCATGTTGGACTTGAGCTGACGCTAGACATCCATGCGGAGACGTCGGAGAGACAGGCTGAGATCCTGGTTTGGACAGAAGGAGATGGGTCTGGAGCCGAATAGATCTGTGAGCCATCAGCACAGAGGTGGAGGTTGAATTTGTGTTTGCAGATGAGATACCCCAGAGATACAGTGCAGAGGGACAAGAGGAGGGAACCAGGGACAGAGCCCTGTGAAACCCCTACAGAAAGCTGGAAGAGGGAGGAGGTGGATCCTCTGAAGGACACGCTGAAGGAACGATTAGAGAGGCAGGTGGAGAACCAGGAGAGGCCAGTGTCACAGAAGCCAAGGGAGGACAGGATTTCCAGAAGTAAAGCACGACTGGCTGTGTCGGAGGCAGCTGCCAGGTGAAGGAGGATGCGGCTGGAAAACCGGTACTGGGCTTGGATTCATTAGAGATCTCGGCAAGAGCCGTTTCCGGGGAATGCAAGGGGCGGAAGCTGGACTGGAGAGGGTCTCAGCTGAAATTAGAGGAGAGGGACTCCAGCCAGCAATTACAGAAAGTGCGTTCAATGAGCTTAGAGCTGAGCCAGAGAAGGGAGATGGGGAATGGCTGGAGAGGCCAGCGGGGTCAAGGTCTGGTGTTTTAAGATGGGGGAGATGAAAGCCTGGTGGTATTCTGAGGGAGAAGAGCCAGAGGAGAGTGAGAAGCTAAGGAGAGTAAGGCTGGGGATGAGAGACGGTGGGGGGAGTTCAGGAGAGGAGGAGAGAGTGGAAGGAGGGGAAGGCTGCCCAGCAGAGGGGGAAGATCATGTCGTGTTTTGTCCATTTTCTCTTGGAAGAAGCTGGTGAGTTTGTGTGCAGAGAGAGCAGTGGAGGAAGGCAGTGGAGTGGGTGTGAGGAGTGACTGGAAGGCAGAGAAGTAGGAGTTGGTTAGCCAGGAAGATGCCAGAACTGTAGAGTTCTCTCAAGGCCTAATGAGTGGGAGCGCCATGTGAGCTCCTTTACAGGATAGGCCCCAAGTATGCAAACTGCCAAACTTTAGTCACATTCTATAGAACGGCAGGGCCCAATTCTGTCCCTATTGATGGCAGTAACCAAGCTCCTATTGACTTCAAGAGGGGCAGAATCCAGGCTGCTGATGGCACATGGGCTGTTGGATTCTCTGGTGTTCTCTTTTTTAAAATCCTGTGTTCAATTTTAACACATTTTTGTCTGTGTGAGATTTAATAAAATAACGGGGGCGGGGAGGAATCAACAGGAATTTTGCAAACTTAACAGGAAGTCCCTTGCATGCTTTCTGGAAGCATTTGCTGTGCATCTTCCAAAGGAAAGTTGTGGGTACATAAAGGTGTGGCTGCTATCCAATTGACTATCCATACTGAAAACAAGATGGGCCCTTTCTGTCGAGAGCACCCTGAGTGGGGATGAGGGGTCAGTCATGGGAAAGTCTCCGGCAGGAGTTTTCACTAGCCATATTAAACGCCTGATTCTGCAATTGAAAAACTCCTGCCATCCGTAGGGGTAGGCTTGGTCTTTGAACATTCAGGGTCAGATTCTCATTTACACTGAGGCCTCTTTGCCCCACTCTGGCAGTGTAAAGACAGCATAAATGACATTCACATTCACTGTAAGGGCCATTTTCACTGCCAAATTAATGTAAAGGGTCCCTAGTGTAAAAGAGAATTCAGGCCTGAGGCGTTCATTCAAAGACGCCTCTCTCTTCTTTGCCCCATTGCTCAGCGGAGACATTATTGATCTCGCTGTCATGCAGACATAAGAACCTGGAGGCCGGGAGCTTTGCCTCCATGTGATTGAAAGCAATGGGACATACAGTGGGTGGTACCTATTCTTAGCTGAAAGCGTGGGTCTGCCCTGCAGAATTCCCCGGTAAACATGGCCGAGAGTTACTCGGCAGAACTGACCCTGGGCGGATTCCAAATCGGAGCAGCTCACTTGAGTGACCAAAATAAGTTGTTTAAGTTCTCATAAGCCCTGCAGAGCCAACACAGCTGTGAGAGGGAGCCAGAGTCGGTCTGGCCCAGTCTCTCCCATGGAAATCAGCTGGAATGAGGTGTCTAAATGCCTTTTGAGCATCTGGCCCTTTCTTCTCATGCATCATCAACAGCGCAGCCATCTGATGTTCCAGTCGCAGGGCCACGTTCCCTCAGGGACATCAGTGCAGCCTGCGCTGAAGACAGCCCGGTATTCCCCACTGCCCAGCACAGGACTGGCCATGCACAACAAGTGATCCTCAGTGGGGCTGCCCAGAGGTCACAGAATTTGGTTGATTGATCATTATTCCACGGATGACGTGCAAAGTGGAAAGAACCCACAGATCCCAGAGACAGCGTCCAGCACTGGCAGCTAAAAGCAGCGATTGTTACAGATAAACTGAGCCCCTCTAGTCTGGGGGCACAAGCAGACAATCACCTGAGAGCCCCACCATGGTGTCCTTATTACAGTCACTTGTAAGAACAGAACTGCACGCTGGGACTGATCCTGCACCACTGGAATCAGTGGGAGCTTGGCCATCGACTTACATGGGTGCAGGTCCGGGCTCTTAGGGGATGCTAAGAAGTAATAAGCGATATTTCAGGGGAGACACACTTGTGCCCACAGTGCCTCTCCTCTCTCGGCGTCTCGTGCAGATGCTTGTTTGGAGGGCCGCTCAGGACTCTGAAATCCAGAATGCATGCCATGGGCCTGATCCTGCGTTACACCAAGGCGACTTGACAACACTCTGGTGGTGTAAAGGGAGTGCAAATGTCAGTGTAAAGTGGCCTTCGGGTGAAGGAAAAATCAGGCCCCAGCTGCTGGAGTCCAGGGTCCATGTTCCTAATCGGTCCCAGAGCCCTTGTGGGTCGCCTGGCATCAGGAATTCCCTAGAAATCAGGGCCCCGACTCCCCACTGCCCTGCACCCTGTGCAGTCATTTGCACCAGTGCAAAGAGCATGGAACGTGCGTGTCCAACACTACCTCGCGTTCTACACCACATTGCACTGGTGTAACTGAGAAGCGGAACAGTGACGAACTGAGCGTCCTAATCACTCCAGAAGGAACTGTTCCAATGGCTCCTCTTAGCTCTCCTACACTGAAATGGGAGGCAGCGGGAATGCAGCGGATGCGAACGTGTTTGCTTTGGCTTGGTGGTGGCGTTGGAGTTTGGCTTGCTTCAAAGAAGCTGTGGCAGAGGAATAAGGGCTTGGTTCTTTCGGAGGACCTGCTGCTGCTCCTGCTGCAGAGTCCCGTGGGAGTTTTGCCATGGGCGGCCATGGAGTGGGAGCAGGATCAGGCCCCACCTTCGCAGCAGTTGCTTGCTGCAAACTGCAAACGCACTCGTCTGAAAACACACCGCTGGTTTTTAGCTCATCAGAGCAATTAGACGGAGACAAAATTCTCATTTATCATGTCTGATAAACACTGAAATGTGACAACAGTCTAATGCGCGTGTTGCTGGTTTCCCCCAATAGCCATGTTTTGTGCTGGCTGGAACGCTGGTGATGGCCCGTCACGCTGGACTGGAATCCCAACTGCAAACATTACAGCATTTCTCACAGTCGCAGCCTGTCCACTTCCAGAACGGCTGTTTCCTGTCCTATTAGGCAGCCCTTTATTCTCTGTCTAGTTCACTAACGATCCATTGACCTCCATCAAATAATGCAATAACTTACATTCATGGAGCCCCTTTCATCCCAAAGGGTCTCACGGCACTTTACAAACACACGGACACTGGAATGTGCTTCACACGCCACAGGGTGGAACGCAGCAGCTGTTTAACAGGGCACAGCAATGTTCTACAATGGTTTAGGACAGGAAGTGGAGAAGATGCTATATCCACGTGAAGAAACAGAGTACTTGTGGCACCTTAGAGACTAACAAGGGGAACTTGGGAAGGCTGAACATCATTACCAGAGCCAATTCACCCCGGCCTTGTGTAGCCATTTACACTAGTGCAATCTGGCAATAATGGTGCAGGAATGGTGAATGGGACCCCTGGAATGTGACTAGGACAGATAACAGGACAGTTGAAACACCACCGCATCTTTAACGAGGGCCTGTGCTTAAGATCTACATTTAATGGCCTCTTCCTCCCAAAGGATTCGACAGCTCTCCCTTAATGCTACTTCTGTGGCCCTGGCTCCACACGGTCTGAGAGAGAAGAGTGCCATCTACCAACACCCTGACTCCACTTCCTTCAGCACCCTGGATCTTCCTCTGACGTTTCCCATCCGTGAACTGACTAGGTCAGGGCACGGCTACACTGGCAACGTCCCGCGGCAGCGCGTTGAAGTGCGCGTGTGGTCGCCGGGAGAGAGCTCTCCTGGTGCTCCACCTCCACGAGGGGATTAGCTTAGAGCACGGCGCTTTACCGCGCTGTAACTTGCTCCGCTCGGGGGGGGGGTGTGTTTTCACACCCCTGAGCGAGAAAGTTGCAGCGCTGTAAAGCGCCAATGTAGCCACAGCGTTAGCGTGGGAGAGCTGCTGTGATCACAGCCACAGTCTCTGTCCAGTGACTGGCATCCCCATGCATCTCAGTCTGCCCAGGTGCAAACGGGGGACAAAGACCCAAAACACAAGAAGTAAAAGAAGAGCAGGAATCTTAAAATGATGTGCAATGAATGTCTTGCTTGTTCCATTTTTCTGTAAACTCAGTTTCACAAGCATGAGTTTTTAAATTACTTGCCTCAAAATATCAAAACACAAGAGCCCCAGAGATCAGTGTGTGTGAATACAGGTCTGGAGTGAGGCCCCCCTTTTGTAATAAAGGGCAGCAAAGGGGGGTTCTGTACCTAACCCCACCGATAGCATGGTCTCCCTAGAACAGCCTTACCCCAGTTAGAAGGAGGGGAAAGAGTGCTAAAAATGCCACGAACCACAGGTAGAGAGTAAAACCTTACCTGCTGGAGGGGACATGGGCTGAGTCTGACTGGAAGCAGTGGACAGAAAAACCCTTCTCTGTACAGCAAAATTCATCTTTGTTTTCCTTCCCATTGACTCTCTGGCTCACTGTAAAGTCCCACAAATCAAAACAAAAGCAAAACTCTAACTTCTATTTTTATGTGAAGGGAAATACATTTCAAATCAAAGAGGACTTTCCTTATTTGTGTCTCAAGAGGTAAAACTCAACCCGTCCCCAACTGACCCCCCATAAGTCATTTCCCAGCATAGCAAACCAATAGAGTATAAGTCATAAAAACGATGTATAACTTTTTTTTAAAAAACCCCGAGTTTCCATTCCCACATGTCAAGTTTCAGAAAACATCTCTCCAACTGGTACTACTCGGAGAGCTGCAGCACTGACTTCCACACACTTCCTATCCAAGATCACTGCTTCAGTTTGTTGCTGGGGGAGTTAGAGTGGTCTAGTGGCTAGAGCAAAGGACTGGGAATCAGGACTTTTCTATTCCATCCTTAGGTTCTGCCTGTGGTTTGGAAAAGTCACCGAACTTCTTTGTCTCTTAATCATCTCCATTGTAAACAGAAATATTGACGTCTGCCTCACGGGGGGGTTTGAGAACTAATGTTTGCAAAGTGCTTTGAGATCCTCGGATAAAAGAACAAAGGATTATTATTCCCCTTTAATTAAAGGCAGAATTGTTCTTGGACAGGCACTGGGAGAGTATAACAGAGGGAGCATGCATAGATGTTCCTTCTAAACGAAAGGCAGACTAAACCATTGCTCAACTTAACGGACACCGTCAACTCACATCTGACCAGAAATTAAAATGTTGTAAAAACAAGCTTTTTGTGAAAACCTAAGATCAGTAGAAAAGTTTCATTAGCTTAAAAAAGCAGAAAAAACAACAACAAAAAGAGTTCTTTCTAATCAAATGGGCATGACCCTGCAGTATTTGAAAGGGAAATACTATAACAAGAACCTAAAGATGAAACTGACTCTAAAGAGAAATGAAATTGACCTCACTGATTTTCATTGCCCAAGATGAGAGTAAAGTAAAATGTAAAAAAGAGCAAAGGACAATTTGGCTGTATAAAATTCTTTCCCTTTTCAGAATGTAAGGACATAAGGAAACGATCTTTACAGGCATTGGTTGTCAAGCTGACAGCGATCCCTTTAACACATCTCTAGTCATTTCAGTGGCTATCCAGCACCACAATCCATTGTTGAAATAAAAACACACATATACTTGGTTGCAAGCTTAGATTGGGAAGGACACAACATGCAGTGCTGAATGATTTGGCACAGTGCACTTAGCCCTCCTCAATAAACCAGTGGGACTGAACTAAGGAAATGGGGCCTTGGCTTGTCATGTTAAAAATTGATTTGGATTCCTGGATATTGGGGGGAATATTTTGACTTGCTGTTTTTCCTTGGGCCACAACTGCTGCATCAGAACCAAATGTGTCATTAAGACACACTGGACAGACTGCTGAGCAGGAAGACTGGATACTCCAGAAGACAGATCTTTAATGAAATTCTGCAAGACAGGGGCACTGAATGGAAAACACGGGACAGAATCTTACACTGGTTAATTACTATTATGGTCAGAAGCATGTTAAGGCAAATTTAGATAGCTGGATTCCTCCTAAGCAGCCCTTGTTTTAAAACCTACATCAAATTGTTTTGTGGCCTATATACATGTATCTCAATTAGCCCTAGGTTTCTTCCTTATGACTCAGAAAGTCTCCTGAGAAGAATTATGCATCTCCTCACCACTAAGTCTAAATCAATCAATCAGCCACTCTGAAAGTCTGATGTGGAGCTGATGGCTTCTTATGCCTCTGAGCTGGCTCACTGCTCTTGCAGCCACTCGTGCAGGGAGGAAAATGACTTCTTCCAGTCGTGCAGAAAGGGAAAATTTGTGAAGCAAAAATGGGAGAGATTTGCTGCAGGTGGGCACAAAACGAGGCCACCTCCCTGTGGAACTGGTGGCCGCGTCAGATTATGGAGCATTCAGACACCAGCACAGTCCCCTCATTGCAGACACCCCAGGGCTTCAGGAAAGCATCCACACAGGACACTAAGGAAAGAACATGGACCTGCGCTCTCAGCCCAGGACTGGCTTCTGTTCCAGGGCAGAAGAAAAGGGCAATACCAAACCCTACAGTCCTTCCTCAGGCACAATTTCTCCAGACATCAGTTGGAGACTTGCCTGAGTGAGGACTGCAGCATCAGGCCCCAAAGAAGCCACTGTTCTTCGATGGTCACGGACTGACACTTTCCAGAGTGTCTGCTGATATTAGGTACCTCCATGGGAGGGGGGGGGGGAGGGGAAGGGAGCTGTGGACTCCTTCCAGGGAGCTGATTCTCAGAAAGTGCCCAGCAGCCCCCCCCTCCCCCTTTCTGGAAACCAGGCTCTTGAACAGTTTCTAGAACTGGGCACCCCACATTTGGGCACCAGGCTCCCAGGCCTGAAGTAACATTCCCAGCCGGAGCAAAGAGCAGAAGAGCTCCATTTAAAGGGAAATGCTTCTCTCCTTTCTCTCTCTCCGCTGCGCTGTATGTCTGGTGGCCCTGCTGGATAGCTGTCTGTCCCCACATGTGGCGCTCAGAGGAACCTTGGCAATTTAGACTGTAAGATCTTCAGGCCAGGGGTTGTGGCTTTGCCCTGTTTGTACAGCACCCGGCACAAGGGGGGTGGGCCCTGCCTGGGGCTTTGGGGCACTGCCCTAAAATAAAGATTGACTGCTGCTGGGAGTAATAAAGGTTCCCCCGGGCATGACCACCTTAAACGCTGTCTCAGGTACTGCCCTGAACCAAGTGCTTGGTGGGGACACTGACTTCACAGCTTGGTCCTGTGGACAAAGGCATCTCACCCCAGCTTTGCTATACATGATGCATCCCACTGCAAGCCTCCTAGGAACCACGGTGCAGATCACTGGGCAGCACAGACCTGGCTCTTGGCAGCCTGGCAGGGGTCCCCCCTCCCAAAAAAGTTCTCTCACTGGCCCTGGCTCCTTGTGGGCCCCGGCCCCCTGGCTCCACGGAAGAAACACTTGCTCTCCCCAGCTTTCCTGCCTGCGTTTTAAATTCCCAGCTAGATCCTCGGGTACCGCGCGCGTCTCTCCCCGCACGCTGGCCAGGTAATCACCAGCTCCCGCTGAGTGTCCCGCTGCCGGGCAGAGAGCACGGGGCACCGGGCGAGGAGAACCCCATGGGTTTGGGACAGGCGCCCACGAGCTCCGGGCCAGCTGGAGCGGGAATCAAGCCAGCTGCGTGTCCGTGGAGCGCCTCTGTCTGTCCGCAAGCAAGGCCAGCTCCCAGCCCCTTCACCGGCTGTATCCCCCTCCATCCCCCGCCGCCACAGGCATCCGCCAGCCGGGATCTGAGCCCTGCACCTTCCCACCCGCCACGCGGGGACGGGGACACAGGCAAGAGCCTTCCTGCTTTCCCCTAATTGCCTAATGAGCCCAAGCCTCTGTCGGGGGCGGGATCCCGCCGCACACGCAGCCCTAGAAGGATCGCTCCCTGCCTTTGTCTGCAAGGGAGGGTAAGGCCCCCATTTGCGGCTCAGCCGGACTGGACCGTGTCTGCCTGGAAGGAAAGTTTAAAGAGCCTGCGTCCCCCGCCCCTGCCCCCGCAGCCCCTCCTGCAGGAGCCCGCACCTGGAGGGCAAGACAACCCACGGGAGCCGCCGGGGAGCGCTCCCACGGCCCGGGGAGGGCTGGCAGCCAGGGCTGCCCCCGCACGCCAGTCCCAGGGCACTTCCACGCGCGCGGTCCCCGTGGGGAGGAGAGGGACTTACTGGCCGGAGGTCGGGAAGGAGCCGTGAGGTAATTTCGCACGCCCGGGAGACAGCCGGGGTCCAGGGGCGGCGGGTCCGCGGCTCGGCTCTCTAGCAAAACCCAAAGGGAGTTAATCCAAGCGGGCTGCGGCGTCTGGCAGGGGGCTGCGCCCTTGTTCCCATGCCCCGGGCACCTGCCGGAGCCGTCCTGAGGGGCCGGGCGCGCCCCACTGCCGGGCGCGCTGCGCTCCGCGCCGGGCGCTCTCCTCCCCGGGGTAGCGCGGTCCTCAGGCTCTGCGCCCCTTCTGCGCGCTGCCCCGGCGCAGTCCGGCCGCCGCTGGCCCCGCGGCTCTTCACCAGCCGAGCCAGGAGAGGGGAAAGGAAGCGCCGGGCGCTGCGCTGCGCGGGGCCCGGGTTCTTTGGTACGTGGCGGTGGCGGCGCCGGCCGCCGTCCCCCCGGGGCGCGCTTCACCTCCTGCCCGCCGGCTGCCCGGGCAGACCCCCCGCTCTCGCCTGGTTTCGCATTTTCTCTCGGGCCCCTTCACGCCCGTCGGGGCTCATCCCTCCGGCGGGGGGCCATGGGGCGAGGGGGAGAGGAGACCTCACGGCCAGGGAGCCCCAGGGCGCACGGGGGGGCTGCTCTTTGCGGCGATCTTCTCCGCCCTTCTTGTTCAGCCCCTTGGCTCGCCGGCTCCGTCTCTCTCCAGCCCGGGGGACTCTGCTAGCGCCGCCGCCTCCTCCGCTCGCCGCTGCCCAGGGCCATCTGGGGCGGGCTCCGCCGGGCAATCTCCCTCGGACAACTTCTGCGAGCTGTCAGGCTGCCCAGCCGCCGCCTCCTGCTCCTCCTCCCGCGGCGCCAGGCGCTCCGCAGCCGGCTCTCGGTGCCCTTCTGCCCGCCACCTCCCCTTCGGGCAGCTCTCTGCAAACTCCGTGCCCCGAAAGCGCCGGCTGGGGGTGCGGGAGCGGGTCTGCCAAGCCCGGATGCGCCTTGCCCGGCGGCAGCCCCCGGCGATCTCCGAGGGGTTCCGGCTGCCGGGGGGGGGGGTCTTCACGCGTGCCCCCTTCGTTCCCCGGGGCGCCTGGAGGCGCGAGGCGATTCCAGCCCCGCCAAAGCTGCCGGTCCGGTGTGTGCACAGGGGAAGCCCCCGGCGGGGTCCTTTAGTGCCTGGCCAGCCCCCAGCAGCCTGCCGGCTCCCGGGTCCTGCAAGGCAGAGCGGCTTGTACTTCCCGGTGCATCTCGCCTCCGCTGCTCCCTCTTCACAAAGCCCCCTTTTTGCAGGCTCTTGGCTAACTCCAGGGTCCGGTGCGCTGCACCCTCCCCCTCCCGCCGCGAGCCCAGCAGCGGTCGGCCGGCTCAGCGAGGGCTTCCTCCTGATGGTGTCCAATCGCCAGCAGCCCCCGCCGCTCCGCTCCCTGCCTCTCCTCCCGTCTGATTGAGCTCACACGCCGCGGCTTCTCACTTTGATGCAGCGCCCGGCCGCCTATGCCTGATGAACCGGGTGGGCTGGCTGCACCTCTCAGTCTCGCCCTGCAGGGGGCGCTCCACTACTGCTGCAATCCCGGCCGGCTTCGCAGCCCATGTCACTGTGCGCACAGCCCGATTGCTGCGTTTCTTCTGGGTGGGTTTTTCTCTCGCCCCCTCTTTGGGGAAGGGCTGAGCCGGGGGTTGCAGTGTGGAAAATGCAAATCGAATTGAATACGTTCTAGGAGAAGCAAAGCGGACCCACCATTCAGATGCACAGAGTGCAAGAATCAGCTGTCCCTGCCATCTTGCAGGGGCCCAGTGCAGGGGACTCTGTGTGTGTGTTAACATGCTCCACACCTCTCTGTTTCCTTTCTCTCTCTTTTATATTTTCCCTTTGTCTGTGGGTCTCTGTGATTCCAGTCTTCCTTCTTCTGGGCTTGCTCTGGTTTGAGTTCTTCTAACTTTATTCCTGAAAGAGGCAGCTCACCCCTTTTTGCTGCTGCCCTGATTACAAGAGGGCAGGGCCTGAAACTTTTTAAAAGCAGAGATCAGATGGTTCAGCTGCAAAATCTCTCAGCACAGAAAACTTTTTAAATGCCCCCCGCCTTGCAGCTTGAATAGCACGCGCGCACACACGAAGAGAATCAGTGGAAAGCTTCCCTCCTGTTTTGAGCAGGGGGTTGGACTAGATACCTCCTGAGGTCCCTTCCGACCCTGATAGTCTATGATTCTCCCCACACACCAGTTCTGCTACAGAGTTATTGTTCCCTTAGTGCAAGGGCCAGTAGAAAAAGGAACAGCTGTTCATTTATTTCTATTAGAAATAAGCCAGGACTCCTGTGTAACTGTTGGGCTTGTCAGGTGGCTTGCCTGTGTGCATTGTTGTGGAGCATTTGACACATGCATGGATTATTTGTATTTTGTTTTTTAATGTAATAATTTCCCAAGACCTCCTTTCTGAAGCCTCTTTAGCAGGATCCATGTCATGACACAGCAGCCCCTTCTGGAGAGGACCTGTCAAGGCAGCCATGAAGAAATGATGTTGACCAGCGTGACTTGTCCCCAAGAAAACAATGGGACTTTCATTCAGGCTTCCCACTCTGACCCAATTCAGCCTTAGAACAGAAGTGCCACCTCTCCAATGTCACTCATTTAGACCCAATTTTACTCCCATATGACATTTTACTTCCATCTGATAGTACTACGGAAAGGGATCTGGGGGCCGTAGGGGATCACAAGCGAAATATGAGTCAACAGCGTAACACTGCTGCAGAAAAAAAGCAAACATCTTTCTGGGCTGTATTAGCAGGAGTGTTGTAAGCAAGACAAGAGAAGTAATTCTTCCGCTCTACTCAGGCCTCAACTGCAGTACTGTGTCCAGTTCTGGGCGCCACTTTTCAGGAAAGATGTGGACAATTTGAAGAAAGTCCAGAGAAGAGCCACAAGAATGAATAAAGGTCAAGAAAACATGACCCATAAGGGAACATTGAAAAAACTGGGTTTGTTTAGTCTGGAGAAGAGAAGACTGGGAGGGGACATGAGAGCAGTTTTCAAGTACATAAGGAGGAGGGAGAAAAATTATTCTCCTTAATCTCTGAGGACAGGACAAGAAGCAATGGGCTTAAATTGCGGCAAGGGAGGTTTAGGTTGGACATTAGGAAAAACTCCCTGTCAGGGTGGTTAAGCACAGGCATAAATTGCCTAGGGAGGTTTTGGAGTCTCCATCATTGGGGATTTTTAAGAGCAGGTTCGACAAACACCTGTCACGGATGGTCTAGATAATCCTTACTCCTGCCATGAGTGCAGGGGACCGGACTAGGTGACCTCTTGAGATCCTATGAGTCTATGATTCTAGACCCAATTTTACCTCCATCACCTACGTTTCCTCCACTCTGCAACAGACTGGACTTTATTTCCCTTTTTTATTGTCAGTTAGTTACATCAGAAGAGGTGAATCATGCACATTTATTGCTGGAGACACCAGCTCCACATCTGGACAAGCTTCTGTTGATATTTTTGGGTGTGTCCCTTGGCTTAAGCCTGGGTTGCCTCTTTGAGGGTTAATCCTGTTCCCACTGCAGTCAGTAGGAGTTCTAGTGTTTGGCCGGCAGAGTGGTGTGGGGCAAAATGTAATCAATGTGATTTCACCATGTGAGACGATTAGGTCAAATTGTTACCTCAGGGTATCCGGAACAAGACTCCTCACTGCCAAATGATTCCTTATTACAATGAGGTTGATAACTCTCTCCCCTTCCCCAGGAACTAACCAAAGGCCGAGCTACTGCCTTCTGCCACTGTTGTGTCCCTGCCGATGTTCATCTTGCAATGGCCAAGTTTGAACAGCTCCTGGGCACCATAATTCAGACAGCCCAAGGCCTGGACAGTTACTAGTTAGGTTCTCATCAGAGTTACTTGCTACGGGATGCAAACCGGTTCTGTTGATCTGTACCAAAGCTTAAGTGCAAGCCAGGGCCCCGGAGAAGGAGACTGGTGGGTGCTGTGCTTGGCTCACCATGGTGAACGTTCCTATGACAATGAGATGTATGTATGCAGCCGGGTCGGTCTCAGGACATTAGTGAGACAAGGTGGATGGGGTAATATCTTCTACTGGACTAACTTCTCTCTCCCCACCAGAAGTTGGTCCAAAAAGAGAGATTCCCTCTCCCACCTGGTCTCTCCAGAGAGATGCTTGTCAGGTTCAAACCCCAGAGCTGGGTTCAGGCTGCAGAGTTTGGGGGCAGAGGCTCAGGCCTGGCTTTGATGGACTGTGACTTGTGTTTGGAAACAAAGGGCTCGAGCCCACCAACCCTTCAGTGCACTAAGCTCATGGGGACCCTGCAGGGCTGGTCCCACAGCCTTTAATTCTGAGCTTGAAAGGAGATGTAATTTCCGAGCTCTGTGTCTCGGAGGGTGGGGTGTCCTTTCCTCTAGCTCCACCAGCCACAGAGCAGCCACAGAGTCCCTCCCCAGCAGCTACTGCAGCCAGTTGTGTGGCCCTAGTCCTGCCCTCCGAGGCGAGGGGGAAGGACTGCAGAATTCACGTGGTGGTGGATTCCCAGGTCCCCAACCCCTCTGGGCTTCGCCCTTACCCTGCATGAAGCATCCCCATTGACCACTCGCAGGGAGTCCAGGAAGCTGGGTTCAGCTCTCCAAGCCCTGTCTCCTGGCCAGCAGGCCCCCTGCAGCTGCAGAGGAGGGTGGAGAAGGGTTTGCCCCAAAGAAACAAATTTTTCAAAAAGCAAAGGCTGACATGAGCATAGGAAAAATGCACCCACGCACACCTGCCTTTGCACTCACAAACAGGGCTTGGTGCCTGCAGAGCCTCCTTTGCATAGACAGACACCCAGCTGGCACATGCAAATACGTGGGGTGTGGAGGTTATGTGAACACGGATTCCCCTTGCACAATTCAGACTCCGCCACCCTCCTGAACACATGTCCCTAAACATTCTGGTCTAGTACTAGATAGCAATATTTTCCTTCCGAATGGCAGCGTTAGAAACTAGTTTAGGTGGCCTCCTCCCATCATCTCTTGTGTTTGGCCTCCATTGTGGAGTCAGCAAAGGCCTTATGCTGAAAATTCTTTCTCGTGGAACTAGTCCCGTTGATTTTGCTTGGCCTACTCACGTGAGTAAGCGTGTGCAGGATTGGGGCCCCTTGTGTCCGAACGGTCTGTTCTACCAGCATGGTGAATTATCCCTTTTCACCCGTTCCAAAAGAGGGACCTGGCGCGAGTGAAGGTTGTCATCTCCTCCCCTGCAGAGACATGACATTTTACCAGCACGTCGGCACTGAAAAGGCAGAAGGAAAGCTTTTGTCTGAAGAGCTAAGCAAAGCCCACGTCGTTCAGCCTAGGGAGCGTTGATAGGGAACTCTGTGCATGACCTGAATGTCTGGCTGTATAGGTGATGGCTTAAGACTGATATGACATTTATCCTCACAAGTGAGGAGACAGATAACTTATTCATGATGGTGCCACTCTTGAGTTATCCGGTGTTTACTTGCCAGTGGAGATATCATTTCAGATCCAGCCTCAGCCACCATCATATATTTATTTCTGCTAACATGGGGATCCTCTTGCTCTGCCAGGAGAATTATAATGTATATAGTAGAAACATTAACTTTGACCATACACTTTAGTCAAAAGGGCCATCGATTAAATTGTTCCCAGCCGGATTTCAACCCGTCAAATAGTTAACAGCATCACTGTGAGCCAGATTTTGCTCCGGACAGGTGAACAGAAGCAGCTACCTTATTAAGTGTTTCCATTTGTGTTGACTAAAACAGGGTCCTTTTGCAAATCAGGGTGATACAAACAGCAGATTAATCAGTTTCTAATTAAATGATGGCAGCGTGCATGTTTAATTAAATAGACTGTTTAAACAATTCTTTATCATGGCACTGGAGACCAGCAGAGCATCCCATGGCATGACCTTGAGATGGTGCGAGACAAGCCTATCCCATTCAGGTGCCTGTGGACGTCCCTCGGGGACATCCTGCCAGGAGGAGTTAAGGATTTGGTTGGTTGGTTTAGTTTGTGTTTAGGTGATGGCTGCTGTCAAATCAGCTTTTACATTTTGTCATTGGGGCCTCACCGGATCATAGAAACCAGAGAGGGAAGAGACTTATTGGGTTGATCCTGCAACCCCACCTAGGTCATTATTCAGGCCCATTATGTCCAGATGTGCTCACGGATGTACGTACACAGCCTCTGCCGACTGCAGCGAGAGTCACATGTATGCATGAGAGCTGGGTGAGGAGGCAGAGCCTGCCCTGAATTACGCACCATGTAGCCCAACTGAATTCTTACCCAGGGCAGAAAATGAGCCACATTCTCTATTGGGAGCTAATATTCTCTGCACAAGGGGCCGTTCTGCGTTGTTTGCAGGCCCAAGACTCCCAGTGGGGTCGATGGAAAGTTGAGGTCTGAAAGGCATACAGAATTGGGCCCGGATTACTGATTTATACAAGCTCCTCCCGTGATAACCCTCTTCTTTCCCTTTGTTTCACAGCAGCTCCAAAGTCCAGCACCAACCTGGGTTTGGGTTTTGATCATTGTGCCAGCAGGGTTTGGCTCCCAGCCTGAGAACCTGCAGGGAACTTTTGGACAGAGGAGAGTTTTGTGGTCAAGCTGCAGAATGGGAACTCTGACCAAGCCTGCAGCAGCACTGGGGCCAGGAGATATAAGCCTTTACCCCTGCGAGGAGTCCCAGCTAAGCTGTTTGCATCAGTAAGGTCTATTCACATAAGAGTCTGCCGGATCAGGCCTCTCCTCTGTGGCCCTGTGTCGGTATGAGAGAGACCGCAAGAGCGTATCTGCTACCAGAAAATGGCTCGGCTGATCGATCGTTATCCAAACACGCATGCATCATGCTGCATAGACAGCTAGTTATTGACAGAGCCAGCCAGCTACAATGAGTCATGTCAAGTGCAAGGATAAGCCCTTGGGAGGTGCCGCTCCGCTATCACCAGCCTAGCTTTGTCTCCACCTGCGGCTTTGCTCCAGCCACAATCTGTGTGGCAACTGGGACAAGCTGTAGTTTGTTGGGTTTTTTTACTAGCCAGCAATAAAATCTAACCCATATTGGTTGATGAGAAGATGATGTGTTTCCCCCGGGTGTAAGTTTGGGTGGCAGGGTCTGTTTCATTTCTAGTCAGTGCCCAGGGACTGTAATTTCAGTCTATTGAAGTCATAATTTACTACTGTGAAAATAAACATTTGTGTTAGCTTGTTTTATTCTGTGGGCTTCGTATGAATGTTAATAATTCACAACCTGCATGCTTCTACATGGGGCTGCACAGCCTGGCTGATTGCACAAACCCTCTGCTAGCACACAGCATGCTTCCCCCGTGTTCCTTTTGCATGGGTCTCACACACAACAGATACCTTGGTATGTTTCCCCCAGGGGTTCTATCGCTCAAGACAGATAGGAGATGATGAGAGAAGTGCCACTTAGCGCTAAGCCACGGATAACGAGGAAATCAGTAGGAAGGCGGCTGTGAGATAAAGGTAATATTTTATGTAAAGATGATGGAGTTTAAAATCTGGGCATTTTGGAAAGCTTCCTGCTTCAGAGCGTCCTGGTGCTTGTTTGTTTGCTGTATTTGCAATAAAAATTAAAGGAGATTTTCCCCATCAAGGTCAAATCCAGCCAGCAAGCTCCTCCGTTAGGATTTAATTCTCCACCTAGATCCAAAATGGGGATGTCACCTTCAGTGCCATGCTTGGGTAGCTGTAATCCCTGCCCATGCAGAGAGAACCAGATATTCGGAGTCTAGATCTGCCCTGCTGCCTTCAGAGGAGAAGTTTGCCCATATGACTAAGAGGGCAGTTTGCTTCACAGCATACTGCACAGGTGACCCACTCACAGATATTTTTCTTGCAGGTGATTCCATCAGCAAGGCCATTTTCAAGGGTCCCAGGGCAGAGGAGCACCCCCATGAGAACGTGTGGCTCACCAGGCCAGAGGGGACAGCCTGTGCTTTGAAGGTGAGATTCTTCAGAGGTCCTGTCTGAGGCTTTAAACAGGCTCCTAGGTCATAACAAAGGGGGGTTGAGACCAGGCCTGAGAGTTAGGACACCTGGGTTCTACTTGAATCTCTAGCATAGATTTCAAGGCAAGTCACTGCCCCACTCTGTGCCTCAGTTTCTCAATCTATGAATTGGGGTACCTATGCCACAGGGGCATTGCAAGGCTAAGCTTATCATCTTCAGAGGGAACCTACTGTAGAAAGGCAAACTGTTATTGACCAAAGGGGTGAGATTAACAAATTGGTCAACAACTACCACTTAAAGACGCATTCATGGCACACTCAGCAAAACATTGTTCAGAGGCAATTCAGTCTAAACTTCTCCATCACCCTCTTCTCCCTGGGATGTGATCATACATAACATTGTTCTATTTAGCTCTGTATCATCAGTGGAGACATTTGCATCAGCGACCATAGTAATGGGTGTTCTAGAAATCTAGATCGAGAGGGGTGTGTGGGGCTGGATGGATAGAAAATTGGCTCTTGGTATTTTCCCCATTCAATGTCAGAGTCCTGTTTGTGACATGAGACTAGTCTCTGCAGCAGCCTATTGGGACTGTACAAACAGTGAGCAGAAGAGGTGGGAGCAGGTGGGCTGCTGAGCGGCATGGGTTCTGTTTTCCTACCGGTGTCCTTAATAAAAAGGAAGGCAGGAGAACACGCCTGGGACAGAGGCAATGGGGCAGCAGGATTGTCACTAAATAGTTCAGTGTTTTTCTCCATGAGGCCCAAGCTGCTCTTGCAGAGAAAGGAAAGTGAATGCTAAGTGTAGTGGATCCACTCGCAGGGCGATCCGGGGGTGACGGGGGCGTGGAGGATTGGCCGGGGGCGGGGGGGGGGGGGAGAACACAGCCCGAGGCAGTGGAGAAAGGGTACAGCTGAGAGAGAGAGAGAGACTCTTATGGGAGGGAGAAAAGAACAGGCCCAAAGTGAAGCCCCAAGCAGAGCTCCTGTGGAATCTGAGGGCTAAAGGTCCTTTCCTATGAAACAGGACATGGTCTCATCTCTGCCAATGACCCTTCATGCCTCCCACCCCCAAACCAGGACACACCTGGACTGTCAGGGACACAGACCACGGGCTTTCCTTTGCTACCAGGCCCCCTCTGCCCTAGAGAATGCAAAGGGGCAGTGGGGGCGGGGATTTGAGTAATAGCTTTTGTTGGACCAGCTTCTGCTGGGGAGAGAGACAAGCTTTTGAGCTCACACAGAGCTCTTCTTCCGCTCTGGGAAATCTCTGAGTACATTGCCCAGATCTGAAGAAAGAAGAGCCCTGTGCAGCTCGAAAGCTTCTCTCTCTCGCTCTCTCACCAACAGGAGTTGGGCCAATAAAAGATGTTACCTCCCTGACCTTGTCTCTCTAATATCCTGGGACTGACCTGACCACAGCGGCACGGCACACAACTAGAGAATCTGGCATAGCAGCCCTGTAGGAGTATTTCTCCATGGCACAAAACACCCCCGTGGGTGGCACAGCCCCTCAGAGCCTGGGTCAACTGACTCGGGCCTGGAGAATTCACGCTACGGGGCTCAAGATAGCAGTGGAGACGTTCCCGCTTGGCTTTCTGAGCTGGGGCTTCCAGAAACGTCTGCACTGGCTATTCTGAACCCTGTAACCCAAGCCAGAGTCCGTCGACTCTCTGAGACTCACTGCCGCAGGGGGGTTTGGGTTTTTTTTTTGTTTTTTTTTTGCAACGTAGACGTGCCCTGCACACAGTGGCTACCATTGGCGTGCTGGGATCACACCGCTCTGGGCAAGGCTGACCACCACACTCCCCATGTCCTGCCTCGCCACAGCAGGGCCAGTGTCAGCAGCTTCAATGGTGCAACTGCCTAGACGGGGTTAGTGTGAGGCTTGGAATCCCTCGGTCTGTTCTGGAGGTTTCTCACCTTCCCTGCCCCATTTGAAAAGCCAGAGGAATATGGCGCTTCCCTCATATGCATTTGCATCTTCCCAGCTCTTTATCTTTCTCTCTGTCTCTGTATTGCTGCAATTACAGACACTTTAAAACACAATGATCTGGCTGTTAATGTGATGGATGACAGAAGCTTTCTGTCTGGTTTAAATCATCCCCTAGAGTGAGCAAACTTCTCTGGATTAACCCCTTCCTGGCCCCAAACTGGCTCCCTCACCGGGCCCTGTGGCTATTGTTTGAAGAGTGCAGCGCGCGTATCTAGATTTTGGCCCTGTGAAGGGACTCGACACCCGTGCAGCTGAGGAACCCCGTTATTTTCTTTCTCTTGCCTTCACAGGGGGGAACAAAGACGCTGCCCTTTTAGCTTCTCAGCTGGAGAAGAGGGAAGGTTGGTTTCCCTTTTACCGGCATGTTTATCCATCTCTCTGCGTCCTGTTGGGGACGATCCAGCCCCCCAGCAATAGTGCAGGACGCACCCCCACAATGACACTACAGCTCAGGGCAAAGGTAACCAGCGAGGCATTTAACCAAGCAGCGCAGCACTGCGGCTGCAGCCATGGGATTTCCTGCAGTGCGTATCTGTGTGCACGAGGCACGTGCAAATACATATGCGCACGGTTCTGTCGGCACAAAGAGGGGCCACCTCCTGCCTTCAGGTAGAGGCCTACAGCTCCCACTGAGGACTATGGCAAACATTTGTCAACGGAGTTTGACGGGTCTCAGTCTAGTTCCCAGGAGACAGGCATCCCCATCACAAACCTACCAGCGCCGCGGTTGGTGTACTGGGCTCTGCCTGACCGTGTCTCGGAGAATGAGCTCCCCCGCTGGCTGCAGGAGCAGCCCCTCCGGATCAGGAGAGAGGTGTAAGGAATGGCAACTGGCGCTGTGCTTTTCCCATGACTAAAGAGAGGCCCCGCTCCCCAGTCTGCCACCTTTCCCCAGGCCTGAGCACCTGAGCAGTCACTTGGCCTCTCCTCCAGCCAGCTGGTCACACGTGCAAGTTCTCAGGAGCCTGCAGCCAGCCCTGGAAATAGCTGGCAATGGCAAAGGGCGGGGTTGTGGGAGGGAGAATCTTGCACTTTTGCATTCTCCGCAGCTTTGTTTCACTACTGTGGGAAAGGAGATTAGGGCAGGCTGGCAGCCAGGGGTTAGCAGATAAGCGAGTGTTAGCGTTGGATAGGCCGGCTGGATCAGTTCCAGTGCAGGGCCTAGCAATCCCTCCTGGACCAAATCTGAAATCAACCGGCAGGCCTTGGAGGGGGCCAAGCCACAGCAGGCTGGGAAAGTCCATGGCCAGGTAGCTAAAAGCGCCTTTCCTCTGGGCTGCCTGGTCAGTACTCTGCCCCTTTCTCAATCTCGCTCCCCTCTGATTTCCCAAAACCATCCAGAGAGTCGAAGGGGGGCTGGGTTCTGGGAAAGTGACAATGGGCAGACAGGGTAGAAAGTGCTCTAATGAGTTTCTGTCAGTCACCCAGACACATGATTGATGGCTCAGTGTGCAACAACTGAGCGCTGGGGATTAAGTGCACGTGGTATGTCAATTTCCGACTCACGCACTCTCTTTGTTTAAAGAGCCAGTCTCTCCTTCCCCTGCCCCTTCCCCACCAGTGCCACGGGCAGGACCATTAACCTCATCTCCTCAGACCCTGCAGGGGCAGGGGTTGGTTTATACCAAAGCTGCTGGCCTGACTTTTTTATGAGTCTGAAATGGATTTTGCTGCCCGTGGAAGCCCTACTTGGAGGCTGCTGCTTCTCTTTTTATGCCCCCATGAGACCTACCACATGCCAGGCCTCCGTGGGGGCATTGCCCTTAATTTTGACTGGGCATATGGTACCTCTCAGCTGGGCTGCATGAGTGACCCTGAGGGTTATTGCACGAGCTAGCGACATGCAACCACATTGTTGTAAGCAGCTATCGAGCACTTCTCATCTGTCAAGCTCTGTGTGCTGGGTTAGGACTGTTACAGCTGGGGAAAGCCAGGCCAGCTTACACCTCCGTTTTAGCCCACAGAGGGGAGAGGAAGCTGTAGAATTGGCCAGGATGAATGCCTGAGCACCTAGCAAATCCATGTGCTGGGGACACTACGATTTTACAAATTCCCTTGTATGCTCTTGGGGAGCCAGGACTAGAACCCTGGGCCTATAGTACCATAAACACAGGCCATGGTCATTTGTGCTAGGGGAGCTCTCCCTCAGCTGGCAGCAGTAGCACGTCCTTTATGTGCTTGTGGCCGATTATCAGAGGGACTGAGAGAAGTAGCATCCTCCCTTCCCCTTGCCCACAGCTCCTGGCGTCTCTTTCCACACAGTTGGGGATCTGCATTTTGTGGGGCAGTGGCTGTACAAGGAGGGAATGGAACTGGAGGGTATCCTCTGACCTCAGAGCTAGCCTCTCGTCAGCCCTGCAAGGACTTTCCTGGGTGGATTCCACTCCCTGCACTGACCCCCCACCCCTTGCCCCAAGAAGTGGGCATGGGGCAGTGGCCTGTGGGAACCAGTGGCAGCCTGTCTCCCGCCGGGAAGGTTCAGGAGCTGTCAGTGAAGGGTATAAAAGCCTAGAGAGACAAGAGCTGGATGGGGAGAATGCATTCAAGTGACACCCTGAAACCTCGCTGGAAGTGGTCCCCAGCACACGTGACTCAGGCGTTGCAGCTGGCACATGCATGTGACTCACACATGGCATCTGACACATGCGTGTTCAACGCAGGCGTGATATGTGGCACGCGTGTATGCAAACAGGGCACAACACCTGACATATGTGGGTGACTCGGATGCAGCACATGGCCTGCATGCATGAATCAGGCGTGATGTGTGGCGCACGTGTGCAACTCAGCAGGCTGCCTGGTGTGCGTGCGTGACCCAGGGATGACACCTGGCACAATTATTTCTTTTGGACACCTGTGGCCGGCAGAGGAAAGTGGCTGGTGGAGGATCAGTGACTGGAGTGGGTTCTCTGGGGTGAAGCAGGGTCACTGAGCTAAACCATGATCGACGGTCCCCTAGCTGTCTAGCATAGCTTGGGGGATTGGCTGGGCAAACGCATGTG